TGCTATATTCACCTTATATAACTGACTTACATAAAGTAAGAGTTAAAAGTTCAGATAAACTGCTGATTCTTCTTAAAGAAATTTTTCAAAAGAGGTCCGCAATTCTGGCTCTCAGTATTTATAACATCATATGATAATAATTTTTCCTATATTATATTACAATCTCACAGTACATATGTGGACTATTCTTTTGGGGGATACTGGGCTTGAACCCAGAGCATTTTGAATGCTGGCCAGCCACTTTGCCACTGAGTGGTATCCCTGTACTGGACTGTTTCTTTCATAGGACAAAAACATTTAGCCAAAAAGGTTGGTTTGCGCCTCCCAGCATTTTGGGAGGCTGAGGCAGGAGAATTGCCATGAATTTGAGATTTGCCTGGGCTACAAATTGTCTCAAAATAACAAGCAGCAAAAAAATAAACATTTGAAACATCCTATTGTCCTATAAAACAATTATGTGTGTGTGTGTGTGTGTGTGTGTATTTCAAAGAAAGATCACTTGTAAATATGGGTTTGCAAGGTACACCCACAGTGATAAAGAATAATATCTGGAAGCTCTACATTCGTTAGAATTCTTTTTCCACATAAGACACATGTATTTGCATATCATTTGATAATATATTTATTATTTTCTATTTACTTAAATATCATGCCATAAAGTGCTTTCAAAACATGAGCTATTTATGAGTAGGAAATGGAGGTAATTATGTACAAATGTTTAACCTTTCAGTGTTCACCTTCAATGATATGCACATGAAAAATGGTCCCTAAGACAGTTCGTACAGATAACTGGAATCAAACACATGGGGAAAGAACAAATAATAAATGAGCATAAATCTTGATATTCTAGTAAATATGAAAAAGAAAAAAATAAACTTTTAATTCAACACATGAAAATTTATACATGATTATTAAAATGTATGCAAAATACCCATATTTAAAATCTAGGTATCCAGTGTGAAATAGGTTATTTTGGTGTTCATACTATAAGATTGTTGGTACCTCTAGCCTGGCCTGTTCACACTGTAAAGCTTCTGATACCTGTAGCCTGGCCTGTTCACATTGTAAGGCTTCTGATACCTGTAGCCTGACCTGTTCACATTATAAGTCTTCTGATACCTGTAGACTGGCTTGTTCACACTGTAAGGCTGTTGATACCTATAGACTGCCCTGTTCTCATCAGACTCAAGCCTTTCTCTCTGTACTGCCCATGGCTGTGGGCTATCTATTCATTTCTCCTTCTCTTTCTCCAGTGAGTTTTCTGCCTGTCCTTTCTGACATCGAAAGACCTCCCACACAGATGGCCTTCCCATGCCTCCATTATGAAATGCATTCCACATGTCACTCTTTTCTGTCCTTCAATGTTTCCCCAAATTCCTTTTTTTTCATTTACTCTAGCCTAGTGTGATGCAATAAAAATGTCATATGATTTTTAACATTTTTAAGAGTTCTCCACACTTCTTTCCATAGTGGTTGAACAAGTTGGCACCACCACCAACAGTGGATGACCATTTCCCTTTCCCCACATCCTCTGCAACATTTGGTATCATTTGTTATCTTGATCTTACCCAGTCTGGCTGGGGTAAGATAAAATCTTCAAGTGGTTTTAATTTTAATTTCCCTAATTACTAGTGATGTTAAACTCCTTTTAAGATTCTTCTTAGCCATCTTTATTTTTTCTTTTGAAAACTCTCTTTTCAGCTCCTTAGCCCATCATTTAATTGGGTTACTTCCTTTCTTGATTCTCAAGAGAGGTGGGACCATAGGAGAAGGGTATTAGTAAGGGAGAAATGGGGAAAATGGGGGCACCATAAATGAGGACACCATGGTGGAAGGGTTAGACAATGCGAGAGATAAATAATGCCTAGCTAGTTTTAAAAAACCAGAGGGAACCATATTAGTCCAACAACCTACTGACAAATTATAAATACAACTAGATCAAGGAATATAATATCTGTCTAGGAAGGTTTATCTGAGAACATTTGGTCCTTGTCCAAGCTTTATCTACATAGCACATGGTAATTACAAGTACCAAACTGGTGGAACTAAACTTCTTGGATATTTAACAGATATACTTTGAGGCCTATACTAATTTGGTCAGAGGGACATAAAGGACAGTTTTGGCTCCTTGCCCTCCTAGGTCGACTAAGCTCCAGGGGACTAGGAACATCTCTCAAAATTTCTGTAACTGTGGTGGGTCACCTGTCCTCTTGATCAAGGAGGCCAAGGAGACCCCAGCAGATGGAATTGAATCTGTATCCAGTCTACAAAGAGGAGGGTCAACACAGAGGAAACATTTCCTTCATGCTTCCAAGTGAAGCCAGCCACGGTCTAGTAGGACCTTTGACTTATCTTCACATAGGCAGAACTGGTAAAAGAATGGAGCCAGGGGCTCCTCCCAAGCCCATGTGACCCCTGAGGAACAGATGCTTAACTGGCCTTAAGAGTAAAAATAAATTGGTTTACCTAAGCCAACTACAGAGTCTGAAATACCCAAAAGGAAAGTATAACCAAAGATTAAAGGGGTCAATATAATTTTTTAAGAGTCCATATGTATAGGTAAAGGCTACATAACAAGAAACAATGCCAGACAGGAGATACCTTCCTTTGAATTGTTGGCCAGGGTGGCCCAAGATACTCCCAGACAGTAACCCAGCATAGAACTGGGAAAATGAACAGCAGACCCCAATCTTATCTAAAGGAATATTGACAACTGATTGCTGCTAGATGAGGAACAGCTGATCTTCCTAAAACAAGGATCTCTAGATAGGCTGACTAGATTCAGTGGATGGACAAGCACTGGGGAGCGGCTCGAGTGCTGACAACACAGTGGAAAATAACAGGGATGACAGAGTATATGGGTTCTAGTGGGGACGGGGGGGGGCTATGAAAGGGTGTTCTTTGGGAAGTGGGTATATAGATGAATAAGATTGTTTGAGGTGTTCTGTATGACAGATGCACAAAAAAACATTTTTTTTTAAAAAAAGACATATTTGAGGAGGAAGCACAAAAATTTACCTCATGTTAAATAGTAGAGGGGAT